ATGTTAGCACATATCAGTCAAAGCAGCGATCCTAGAAAGCCGGCGATATTAACGTTAACGATATTAACGACCAGTTTCTGTGTTATTAGTTCAAAACGACTGGATGAATGACATGCCGATTTAGCGTCAAAGAAAGCTATTTAATTCCAGTGCTTGTTATATTCTGACTACAACCGGCCGGTTTCCCGCGAACTCCAGTGGTTCTGGAGGATGCTATGCCGGCTACGCTCATTGGTCAAAGGGAGAGATCGGCAGTATGGCGGAAACCCACGGGTGAGCCAAGATAGTACGTTGTAGTCTACTTCCGTTTCTGCTCAACTTTTGTTGTACTGAATTGCTAACCATAATATACTCTCTACCAAATCATTTTGATTTACTTAACTGACTCTAATATTAAAGATAGCATGGTCTTGTGGCACTACAGTGTGGTAAATGTTGTATTCCAATGGATGGAACTAGACTAAGAGGTGTATCTTGACAATCGGTCCAAGATCGCTTAGTATGATACCTGTGATTTGAAAATTCATCAATCCAAGCATAACTTGCATGGAGCAAACTTATTTGCATGTATGGCTCATTCAGTATATGCATAGAGTGATTTCTGAACGTAATTTACCTTAGTACCCAGGCTGCACAAATAAAATAGAATTTTAATTCAAATTTCAGTTTTTGTGGGTCAGATTTACCTTTATCTTCTGTCCATTCATTCATTTTCTACCGCATAATCCCTGAACGGGGTCACGGGGTGGGGGGGCAATCCCGGTCCGGCAATCGGGCGAAGGCGGGGTACACCCTGGACAGGTCGCCAATCCATCGCAGTACCTGCTGTCCAGTAGACTGGAAATCACAACGACATGAGAAACTGGAAACACCGTATTCTCTGTTGAGTCAAACATGTCATACATTTACGGATCAATAGGGGGCAGCCGATACACATTCCCTGTGTTTAGATGGGGGTATCTGATTAAGTTTGCCTGCAAGAGTTGAATAATACTCTCACTCTTTTCATGTAGATGTGTTTTACATACTATAATTATTCTCAGTGTCTGAAGTCCTATTCCACTGAAAACCTGCTCTTCCAGAGAAAGTGCTGAGTATCTGTACTCCAATGCAAGGTACAACCAGTGATAAAGAGTGAATGAGTGGACTAGGTTAGAGTTCAATAGGATAAAAACAAATAGAAAATCATCTGGTGGAACCTCAGTGACAATGATTATGATTAGGAAAGGAACTATGCAGAATCCGATATGAAATTGATGGCAGTCCCCTTCAAATGCTATTTAAAAGCCAATCAACCCAACATCCTAAGAATATGAAGAAGACTCCACCTGAACACAGTGCAGGTCGATTCATAGCTGCCACAAGCACTGAAGTTATTGCTGGCAAAGGAGGTTCAGTTATGAAATCCAAGGTTTCACTTCAAATTTTTATGCCAGTACTTTGATGTGTTTTTACTGTAGGTTAAGCACATCGTGTTTGTCTAAATTTGTGACTTAAATAAGAATCAGGACATGTTTTCAGACCAAATAAAGCAGAAGAACATGAGCCAATAATGGTGTCCCAACTGACTTTTCACAGTTCTTTATGCAAATAATCATAATCAATAATCATCATGTGCCTACACTTTCGGATTATGCTCAGATACAGTGAATATATTATGATGATTAGGTTGGAACACCCCAGCAGTCATTACAGCGCCATTCTGCCGCCTTACTGTCGCCCCCACCATTGTCATGGAGACCATGTAAGTTATAGCATTACGTGTGTGTATGTGTGCGTGTGTGTGTTTGTGCTCTATCCAAAGTACAATAGGCAGACTGACATGGAGTCTGATAGGGGTTATGACCCCTCACAGTAGGAAGCTCAAAATGTGGCTCCTTGCCTCTTCTCCTGTGCTTTTTGTGTGTGTATATCTTACATCTGCAATAGGATAGACATTTTTATTTGTTTTGTTTTCTCAGGGTTGTTGCACATGTGTCTGTCTACCATGTACAGTGGATGTCTATTCACGTATGGAAATGCCCACATTCACACACAGAGACAAGCAGGCACACATGCAACAACACAGAGATATTAATCGCCAGGCTATCCCTGTGCTGAGGCAAGTCATTAACATGCGCACGCTCACACACACACACACAAATGTACTTCTATCTTTGTAAGGACACTCAGTGACATAATGTATTCCCTGGCCCCTTACCCTAACACTTAACTATCAAAACTGAACATCTAAGCATAACTGTTATCCTAACCCTAACCCTAAACCTAATTCTAACCTGAATGCTCAAACCAACTCTTAACCCTATGAAGTGAAGTGAACAGCCAAAATATCCTCACTCAGAAAAACAAGACCTTTTTGGTCTTCACTATGTAGCAAGTATAATAACACACACACACAAATACAGTGATGCATCAAAAAGATTGATGTGGTGTTTCAATGGATATTTTTGGCTGGAGCCAGTGACTGGTAGAAAAGCCTGGAATAATTCACAATGTGAAAGGGAAGCAGGTGATATGATGCTGTGCCACTTTGGAAAAACTTTCAATGTAATATTGGTAGTGGCACAAAAGACATGCATGTACATGTGTACACACACATACTAACAGATCCCGAGGGTTGGCGTTGAGTGTGCATACTATATGTGTGTGTAGTTTCTTAACTGTACACGTGCACAGTTTACATGCATGCAAGAAGCTTGCATCTCATTTACGCAGTTGTCATATGTGCTAAAGTTTTACATATTTAATGCATGTGTAAGCATGTGCGTTGCATTCGTATGTGTGTGTGTATTTAAGGTTGACCAAAACACAGTGTCCCAGCAGACTCGTCACAAAGTCTGTCACCACCCAGTCACCATGGCGCCCAACTTGGCCGAGACCCGACCGCAGCAGGGAGCACCTTGCCACCATGGTAACACGTCTGGG